TTGAGTGTCGTTACAACTTCTGGCTGACATCAGTGCAATGTAGTAAACTTCCTGTGTTTGAGAAGCACTTGTACAATGTCGTCGATATCGAGAACAACACTATTGACAAGATGGACGTCGATGTGTTGGCGTTGTCGCTGCAGAATGTACATGTTGGAACTGAATTTACTCTTCCTACTACAGTGACGGCACTCACACTTGTCAAAGTCTCGAATTTGACACAGATTGCGATACCGGAAGCTACTCAACGACTCATGTTGAAAGGGGTTGAGATGAGCAAGTTGGTAGTGCCACACAATGTCGGATTTTTATCACTTAAAAATTTGAAGTTGACTGCTCTTGAAATACCCGAGAAATGCACTGAATTGAGGATTGGAGGAATGCCATTACAATCAGTGAGTTACCCGAGCGGGATTACTCGACTTAAAGCGAAGAAAAAAATACTCAAGTTGTTTAATGCGGAACACTTGCCATTGGTGCCGAAGGAAATATTCGAGGAAAGGAATTGAGCAACTTCAATTTGAAAATGGAAATCAATTCAACGTAAAATAGTGAGGAGGAAGTGGGGCGGTGGGTTTTCGCGTCGGCCGGGAAGAAGTCTTGTTCTGTGAGTTGTCTGCGAGAGGTTGCAACTGGTCAGTTTTGATCTGCTGCGGAACACTCGGCTTGAAGTAAATTGCATAACAGGGCTGACGAGAAATCACCGGCTTGCGGTTTTGGTGTTTTTTCTTCTCACCACTTTGGTTGTTGGACTCCATCCGCTCAACTGAGTTTTTTATTTTTCTGGTTCGTTTTTTAATTTTCTTTTTATTTGGTTTGGCAATACCATTTTATTCAATTGTTAGCCCTTTTATGCCAATGAATTATAAAACATAGTTTTTTTAACTATATATATAGTTACTTTCTATTCATTTGCCGTTGACACTTTTTAAATTTGGTAAAAATTAATAAATAAATAAAAAAAAATTATTTTATCACACATTTTTAGTATAGTTAATGTATAATTTAAATATAGTTTAACTTATCTAAAACTATATTTTTAATAAATGATATTAATAACAAAAAAATAATAATTATAAAAAAGTATTAATACAGTGGATAAGATAGTATGACCAAACATAGTACTTAATGATAATAAGACCATCAAACATATGCTATCTTAAAGTTATTAATGAAAGCAATGTTGTTCACTTTTTTCATTGTTTTGAGTCAATTTCATTGCTAATTCTTAAACTCCACAATAAAATGACCAGTCTGTAGTCCAAGTCTTCATTATTGTGATTGAATTTTGTTATATGTTGTTTTCACTTTATAGATATCATCAAAATCAAATGTTTATCCACAAAGATTGAAACTATTATTTTCTTTATTTGTATTAATAAAATTTTAATAACTAAATATTATAATTAAATTTTTAATTGATTAATTATTAATTATTGGGGTTTTTATTATTTTTACATTATTTGTCAAACCTAAAAATAGAAGTTAAAATTTATTAAGAAAAATGTTTATTTTACTAATATACATTATACAAAAAAACAATAATTAAAGTTACAATTAGGGCAAAATAACAGAAAAGATTTCGTTTTTGAATTAAGTTGAACCATTCATTTTTTGACATTTTATAATTTGTTAAAAACACGAAAATATAATAAAAATTAATGAAAATAATAAATAAATAAGTAATTTTTCTAATGTTATCCACAAAAATCATGATAATAATTAGAACAATTACAAATTATTAGAAAAATATTCCCGTTTTTGTGGTTAGAAATATTACTAACAACCCCAAATAATTCCCTAAGGTTTATCATTTTGTTTTTTTACTAAATTTAGAATTAAAATTATGAATAAACTATATTTTGTTTTAATAGTTAATTATCACAAAAAAAGAATACACATCAGGGAATAACAATAAGTGTAAAACTTAATAAACTATATCTTATGTTAAAAGTTATTTATAATATTGGCAATTAATTTGTTTATATTTCTTGTCATTCCCAAATCTGCGGACGTTTGATTATGATTTGGGAACAACAAAGTGGACTCCCGATTGTTTCCACACAATTATTACAATGAACACCAAATATAAGTAAAAATCAAACAAAATATTTTGTTGTTATATTGTTATAAATATATAAATGGGATTCATTTTTTTTCTTGTGGTATAATAAAAATAGTTTTATTATTTTGATTAAATATAATATTTAGTATCAAATAAATTTGTTTGAAATACATATCGAATTTGGTCATGTTAATATCAACTTGCCGACAAATTATTATTCGTCAGAGCTAAAAAGACAAAAGACTTCATAATCTTATCTTTATCACGTGAAAAACAGGAACCTCTTCTTTTCGCTTTTTTTGTCGTTTTTTGTATGTCATTTCGGTGTATTTTTGTCCGTAAAATCAAGAGTTAGTTTTTCACAAAATATTTCGAATATATTTACTTTTACATAACTATTGTATCATTATATACAAATTTTCATATGTTTAAAAAAAACAACAGTGATTAAAAATAAAGTTAATAAACGATTGATTGAAAAAAAAATAACATGCTATCGGCATAGTCATTATTATGGTACCCGTTTTTGGGTCGTCTATTTTTCTCCATTTCCACATTTTTTGGTGTGAATTGTCAAACTTTTTTGTTCTTCAAAGAAAGGAACTTTCTATAATCCAATCTTCTCATCTTTCAATTCACTGTTATAGAACACATGTCCGTCACAACACAACTCCCACCAAAACCAGGGCACACAGCTCCTATTCCTCACAACACACCATTTACTCGTCCAAATAAAGCAGCTCCAATACCACAAAAGAAAAAGCCACAACGACACCCAACACTCCCAGAGTTAAAAACAGAAGACGTGTTTGACAATGCAGTGACTGTAGTCATCGAAGAAAGACTCTCAAAAACTACACACACATCACAACAAAACTCATTACAGAACTCCGCTCAAAATTCCTTTTCAACACAAGCTTCACAAAGTACTTCACAACGTGACAGTATAACAACATCGGAGAGAAATTCACAGAGTCGACAAGGTGGTTCTCCACGTGCAACAAATATTTTAATGAGTCAATCGAGCAGAGGATCAATGGAACGACATAACTCGTATTCCCCAAATATGATTGCTCACACTAAAGACGATATGATCCCCCCACCTCAACGCGCTGCTCCAAAACCCGTTAAAAGACATTTACCTAACCAACATTCCCCTCAATCATTCTCTCCACAAATGCACAAACACGACACGTTCAATACAAACGACACGTCACCACTAAAATCACCACTTGCTACAGAATCGGGAATTCAGTTGGCTAGTTTACCTCCTATTGGCTTTGCAAAGGTCAATATCAAAGAAGCTTCACCGTCGTCACCATCAACGAATTCCCCATCGACTGATAATAGCCATAACACAAGTTTTTCTAAAAATCCAATGGGACGTATTTCCCTTGCTACACTTCCACCTTCATCAACTATTCAACTCGCTAGTTTACCACCACAATCAAATATATCACATCAAACAAATATAGTCGGTGGAGCAGAAGCTACCACTCCAAGGACAATTGTGATGACGAGAACATCGCAAGCACAAAAAGAACAAAAACAAGAGGAGATCAATTACGTCAGAACTATCACAAAATTCAACACACAATTATCAAAGAAAATTGATAAAAAAAGTTTTGCAGTACCGTCACTGAAGTCGTCAGAAGACAGCACCTGCGAAGACAAAGTCGAAGAGTGGGATCTCCCAACAACTTCTCTGAATGTGGACGATGTCTGGAATTCACTCCACTTCGAAGAGGTCGAATCGCTTGTTTTCGACACTATCATATGCGTTAAGGGTCGTTCTGAGAATTTGAGCTCGACGGCGTGCCTTGGCGACTCAGTCCTCCCCTCTTTTTGAACATCTTTCTCATTCCATTTAACTCGGCTTTTTATTTCTAGTTCAGTTGAATACCTCAAAATTGTCTGTCTGTAATTTTATTCTTGAACTTAAGGAATAGTAATTATACTATAAAAAAACTAAAGAACGGTTCAAAAATCATTTATCAGCCTCTGGGTATTTCCTCGTGATTTCGATATAAAGGGAGCCTCTATAGTTGTTGATCGAGTACTTATGATTATCAGTGATTGGGATAGTAATCTTTCCAGGAGCACTTGGTTCGTCGGAAGGGTCATGGAATTCTTCCACGAAAGGAGACTCAAGAGCGGCTTCAGCAGTGATTCTTTTGTCAGGATTGAAGGTCAGGAGTTTTTTCATTAAGTCGAGACAGTCGTCGGAAGCCTTTGGACAGATTTCTTGGAGATTTTTTGGGTCACGAGGAGGTAAACTAGCGAAGAGATTCATAGAAAGTGGGGAGTCGATGACTTGCAAATCTTCGACGGTAGGCTGGCCAGTGAATTCGATAATTTTGTCGAGTTGATTAAGAGTGGAAGTACCAGGGAAGAGTGGTTTGCAATTAACGATTTCGCCAAGGATACAGCCGACACTCCATAAATCGATACCGAAGGAATAACGTTGAGAACCTAATAAGATCTCAGGAGCACGATACCAACGAGTTTCGACGTAATCGGTTTGTAATGATTCTTTATCTAAAGAACGAGCTAAACCGAAGTCAGCGACTTTTAAAAGACAGTCGGAGTTTAAAAGAAGATTTGATGGTTTGATGTCGCGATGGACTATACCAGCACTGTGAAGATATTTTAAAGCTTTTAAGAGTTGATAGACGATGTAACGGACTTGAACATCTTCTAAGATATTGGCACGGATGACAGCATGAAGATCAGTCTCCATATACTCAAACATTAAGTAGATGTCTTTGTTGTTGTCTGCTTTCATCACATAATCCAAGCGAATGATGTTTTCGTGATCCATTCGTTGCAAATACATGATCTCACGGAACGTCCGTTGTGCGTCCGTCGCATTTTGAAATGCGTCAAATATCTTCTTGAGAGCTACGACCTCTTGGGTTTTACGGTCAACGGCTTTCCAGACTACACCATACGCCCCTTTCCCTATTTTTTGGATAATGTCGTATTTGGTCAAGATCTTCGGCTCAATATCATCGTCATGGGATGAATCTGCGTAGGACATGAACTATTATTTAAGTTACTGTTTATTTTTACTGCCTCTAATTCGGTAGTCGAATTGAAAGGCTATGGTTCCCGTCCAATAGGATTTTTTTGTGGTTATGATTTTCTTAATTCTTTTGGCATTTGTTGTTATTCGGTGTACTATTTCTTTGTTATTAAGTTGGTTACTAAAAGAATTGTATTCTGTTTAATACTTTGTTAACTCCCGGTCCGAAAAAGCGTGAAATGTCAATACAAAAAATATTTCTGGTTGGTAATCCATGTCTAATTATTTATCTAGTTTTGGTATAATACATCGTTATAAATTGGTGTATTATACTTATCATTAAATAAATTAGAGAAAAATTCAAAAAAAAACTGTTCAAACTTGGAATTGAAAGATGAGGGGAAAACTGTTTATTAAAATAAATTATAATTTATTTCAATAAAATATAATGATAGATTTTATTATATAAAAATAACAACTATTATACAAAACATTAACCAATTAAATAATATCAAATGGTTTGTATCTTATAATATTACTACAAAAAATTACGTTTTACAATAAATAAATTATTGGTTTTGATAAAATAATAAAATAGTTATTAATAAGTTATTAATAATGAATTACAAATGGAAAGTGACAGAGAACAGCTCATCAATATCCAAGCAATTTGCTTATCAATCAAACAAGTCGTATCTGAGCTTGAACAACAACTCGAAGATATCAAGAAATAAATGAGAGATTGTGATATGAGCTCTTGTAAAGCAAATATAGAATATTTGAATAATCAACTCCATACAATAAAAGAAAAACAAGAAGATATTTTTGTTTTTCTTAAACAACTTAAATAACATTTTAATAACATTTTAATAACATTTTTAAAAACAAATTTTGAAAAGAAAAAAAATCCAAAAATAACAAAAAAACAACGAAAATGCAATCAAAAAAATTACAAAGCATTCAATAAGTGATTACATTTATTTTGAATTGAAATACTATTATTTCATGTTATAGAACGGGTTTTGAATTTTTGGCAAATAATAAATCTAAAGATTGTTTTAAATTATTTTTTATAGTTCCTTTTTATATTGTTTTTGTTAGAAAATATTAGTAAATTAATTAATAATAATCTATAAACTCGAAAAGCAAGACCATTTCTTAATTTATAATACTAAGATGAACTATAAAAAAAGAAGAAAAGACGTTTTTTTCTGGTAAAAAAAACTCAAATCATGAGCATAAAAAAAACGTTATGTAAAAATATACAAGAAATGGTTTACATTCCGTCTTTTTTGATTATTAAAACGGGAGATTGTAAAGACTATTTTAATCAAAAAGTTTTTGGATCATTAAGAGAATTGGTGTGTTATAAAAAACGCAAAATAACGGGAATTTATTTCCAAAAAACTAACATTCACCCAAATCACCTGAATTATTGGCCTCAAAATCATTTTAATTTTTTTTAACTTTAAAAACCATGTTTTTATTTTTAAGTTCTTGTTTTGAGCCACAAAAATACAATTTCAAATCACTTTTTGCATTGAAAAGGCTTTTTAACTATATTTTTTAATAAAATGAATTACAAGGAATTGTAATACCCAACTCAAGGCATCATAAAACCAAATTCATTCAAAGCGTTAAAAACAACGGGAAAAATCTTTTAATAATTCATAAAAATACATTTTAATTTATTATTTTTCTAATTATCAAAAACTTGACATAAACTATACACAATAATATGAAAACCATTAAATTAACTATTTCATTAAGTTCAGTTCCCTTAGAACAGAAAATGCCCAGCCGAAAGTTTTGAATTGATGAAAATAATTCCGCACAAAAAGCAAGAAAGTAACCAATCAGTGGGTAGTTGTTAATTCTAAAGAAATGGGGGAAAATACTTGAGAAACTGACAAAACCCAAAGGATTGTTTCGCATGAACAACGTCGAAATATACAAACTTATTACCAAAATCACAGAATATGCAAACTTTTCATTCAACAACCCTTTTTGGACCAAATCGTGGACCTCACACATTGACTTTGACAATCAACATATCCTTCTCGACAACACGTACGGTCAAGTCGATAACCAGTTTGTTCTCTTTAGTTCTTTCTATTATAATTTTACTATTAACTTTATCTTATACTTTCTAGTACTTTCAAACGATAGTAACCTAATAGGATGTATGTGAATAAGTGCTGTGCCGTTGTTAATACCGACATGGAGAGACTGGACCGGATCTTCATCACAAATGAATTTCATCGATATAACCCATTTATATATAAATACCAAATGGTCGAAACCAATCCAGACTTTACTGTGTTTGAGGACGAGATGAACCTCTTTGGCTTTAACAAGACGGCGATATGCTATAAACAGATCTTTAAAGAGATGAACGGCAATCACTACCACTTATTCCTCAATGTCATCCACCCGATGTCGCGTGTGCTGCCTTTCAGAGACTCCCACATGCTCTACACGTGTTACGTCTTCCAACAAATCAGCTCGTCGCAGGTCAAAATCTCGTATATGACACAGACGCAACCCGTTCCTTGGTACCATTCATCGAATCCACAAATTGCATTATATAGACAACAACTCGCGTTGAATCGCTATTTCTCTGTATTACTCGATTGTCCTACAACGAAAGAAATCCCAAGTTATATCTCCGTGGAAAGAACGGGGTTTGATAAGGTGTTGCCGGGATACAACTTATCTGGGAAATATGTCTACTCCGACGAGAACATCAAAATAGTCGAACACGAGAGGTTCAAAGACGAAATCAATTTTTTGGTGCAAGGGAAGTATGAAGCGCGATCGACACAAAACTTAAATAAGGACGAGATAGTCAGAATTCTCTTCCAAGAGCGGTGCAAAGTGATTGAGAACAATTCGGGGTCTTTTGTGTTACACAAAGGGTACTCCAAAGATTACCAAGTCACTCAAGACCACATCAAAATGTCGATCTTTCAATATTCCAGTGAGTGTGTTTTAGTGAATATTCACAGCATCCACAGCGCACAATGCGGATTAGCACATACCCACAAGAATCAACAATATAAGATATTCCACTTCAATACCGGCTTCATCTTCTTTTCTAAGGACGAACATAACATGTGGAATTTACAATTCTACTTCGACATGATCCAAAAGGATTCAAACGAACTCAATTACACCATCTTCTTGACATTCCTCGATAATATGAGACACGCATTTGCTACATCGCCAGACTTCAGAGAAGACTTGTCACCAGTTCTAAAGTTCAGTCTCGAGACTAAACCCGTCGAGAAGTGCGGGTTCTTCCCCCGCCTCAAAAGTAAGTGCCTTCAACTGATCTGTTCATATCTCTCGAAAAAGGATATTCTAAGCCTTCAGATGACTAATAAACACATTTGCTTGTTGGTGAGATATGCAGAGAAAAGAGACGCGCCGGAGTTGTTTATCGACAAGGACAAATCAAGTTCTTCAGAAACGTATTCAGGACTTAAGGACAAGTTAATATCTTGCGACTCGAACTCGACGTCCGGTCCAAAACAATCCGACAGCGGAAATAAAGACCAACTTTCTCTTTCTATCGACCAAGAGTGTTTAAATCAGACCCAAATGATGTTCCAAAAGGAGACTTTGAACGAAAACTTTGAAAGAACGGAAAAGGTCGAAAGGAGTGACAAATTACCAAAGGCACAGGGCTACGCACGTATAGAGAAACCCGACAACTTTGATAGTTTGAGTAGCTTGAGTTGCTTTTCTAAAAGCGACAAGTCCGAAAAGAAAACCTCGATGGAGTTTGAGACCCCGACCGATCACAACGAAAATTCAGAGCAAAACCCTATTATGCTCGAAGGGCATTTTAATGTCGTTCGAAGTGTTGCGATTCACCCAAAAGAAGACGTCTTTGTCTCGGGAAGTTCAGACCGCAAAATCAGGTTGTGGGAGTTTAATAATCCACGAGAGAACTCACGAGTCTTTGTTGGTCCTAATAGTTCAATCACTGATGTCAATTTCATTGGGGAACACATCTGCACGGCTTATAAATGCGGGACAATTAAATACATCCACCCAAACGACCCGCCACAGTCATTTATCTTTGACGCTGTGATTGGAAAAATTGAAGGGTTTTACCCAGTAGGGTTCACGGACTTTGTTGCTTGGAACGAGTGTGTAGAAATCATTTCGTATCACGACGTGAAACAAACCGTCTTGTTTAAGTACGCAGAACACCAAAGAAAAGTGACCATCGTCCGCCCATTGACAAATTACGTCTTTTTGTCGGGATCGTCCGATCGAACAGTTCATATTTGGGACACTCGACAACACTGCCCAACGGTCCACAGATTGAAGCCACACAAATCGGGTGTTATTCAAATGGAAGTCGTCGACTCGGAAAAGTTCTGTACGGTTGGTAACGAGAAGATCGTCAACTTGTGGGATATACGGAACTTGAAAAGCCCTGTCTTTGATATTAACAACAAGACTGAAATGTTGAGGATTGGGGAAAATAGAATCTTTTGTGGTGGTGAAGACAACAATGTGAGAATATATAACCTTAATGCCGATCTTGTAATTGAATTGCAAAATCAGCACAAAGAAAGTGGATTGAGTTCGATGGCATGCGCGAGAGGGCATATTGTGACTGGAATGAAAAATGGGTCAGTCTTCGTGTTCAACAACGTAATGTACTGAACATGCTTGTACTTTTGTACTTTTATCTATTTTTTTGTTGAATTAAGTTGCTCGATTCGAGATGTAAAATACTCTAATATAGTTCTTATTAATAATAATACTATGAAATATTATAGATTTATTAATTATATATGACTATATATTGTTTCAATACTTTAGAGTATAACGTATTTCTTAATTGAAATCGTAACAATCAATCACTTTCCAGTTAATTTGGCGATCACACCCCTCCTGTCGTCCTTTCTTGGCTTTGTTGCATTTCTTCTCTTTCTTATTGGGTTTCGCTCATTTTTCCATTTTGGTACATTCTTTGTTTTGTAAAATTCATATTCACTCTTGTCTTTCACAATTCTGCCAAGTCTTTCTCTGACGTTCTTTGGAAGAAGATAGTCGGGGATGTCTCTCAAGTGGTTCTGGGCAGCAGCAAGTTGTGTTGTGTGCGACACACCACTTCCAACCGAATTTTTGAGTGTTTCCAAATTCATCTTTTCCTCCTTGAAATCTCTGATACGAGCAAGTTTGCAAGTATTTTTGGTAATTGTGTTTTGTGCATCATAAACTCTTGTCTTAAAAGAGTTGAGAATGACGGGATCCACAACATAAGTCTTCAGCGTGTGTTTTGTTTTGATCTCACTAAATTGCTCCAACTCGCTTTTGTCAACAAATGTGATTGCGGTACCTTTCTTTATTCCTCTTGCCGTTCGACCGATACGATGAGTGTACGAAACGTCGCTCACAGGGCAGTCAAAGTTCATAACTGTTGCAACGTCAACAAAATCGATCCCACGTGCAACAGAAAAGTTCTCTTTACCTTCTTCAGCATCAAGATCTTTTGCTTTCTCCTCGATGACTTTCTCAATAGTCACTTCATCGGTCGCAATCAAAATCTTGAACTGTTTGTTGTTGAATTGGTTGATGATATCAGTTCGGATATCTCGAGGAAAATCGGAGTTCAGAACAACGGACGGAATTGAAAATCTGTCCAAGAATATTTTGACGAAAAATGCTTGTTGAATGGAATTTACAAAGATTAGAACTTTCCCTCTGATCATGTTAAGTCTCAAAATGATATACAAATTGAGTATTTTGTCTTTTTGCTCACAGAAAATTGAATACTCTGTGATGTTCCCTTTCTCTCCTTCGTCTTCCAATCTTATTTTAACTGCGTTTCTGATGGTGAGCTTTTTGATCGTTTCAACATCGTCGTTGATGGTCGCACTCAAAAGCCACTTTTTGCACGTCTCTGGTAACGTCTTAGAAATTTGTGTGATGTCTTTCTCATAGCCATACGCAATCATCAAATCAACCTCGTCGTACACAACCATATCTAATGTTGACAAGTTGGTACCTGTTCTTTTCAGGTAAGTCAGCAATGAAGACGGTGTTGCTGTCACAATATCGGGAAGTCCTCTGGTTTTCCCCTTTTGTGATATCATAGAAGTATCTGACGCAACATTAATAATGGAAATACCATAAAACCCTTTCAGCAATTGATCAACGACGTTTTTCACTTGGACGCAAAGTTCTCTTGAGGGATTCAAAATAAGCGCTCTGACGTAGTTCCCTTCGCTCTTTGTCGTGAGTAAGTTTTGTAAAATTGGGATCACATAAGCCAGCGTCTTTCCTGTTCCTGTTCGGGCTTCGGTGATGATGTCTTTTCCTTCCAACGCGATTGGGATAAATTGTGATTGGATTAGGGTTGGGTTTTTATACCCTAAACGGTTGATCTGGTGGGAAAGGAAGTCGTCGAGACCGAAGTTGGCAAAGGTTTTTGACTTGTCGAGTAGATTGTCATTTTCCATGAAGGGTTAATTACTTTTATTGTTCTTCCAAATTAAATCATTTCAATGATTTTTGGAATTGACGAAATAGTAAAAATACTATATATATAGCATTATTTTAATTTCACTAATAAATGGAATTTCCACAGCTCGAGAAAAATAACGTCTTGTTGGATTGTGTATATCGTCTCCTCAAAAAGGACGCAAATAATGTAAGAGATGATCAGAAGGTCGTTCAGCTCAGTGCTGACTTGATTAATATCGTTGGCTTTGCCACCGTGCAATCACCTCAAATCAAACGCGACATTACGACACTTTTAAACATTTTTGACGTCGATATCCAAACAACCTTCTTTAAAAACAACGTAAACGAGTTGTCTCTTACGAGTGTTGATTGTCCAACAATCGCAATACTGTCTTCTTGTCACCAGAAGTGTTTAGAATTTCTGCTTTATTTTATTGAGCTCCAAGAAAATAGCAAGAGATATGTCTACAACTTCGCGCTGCGTTTTGTACCTTTTCTCGTCACTGTTTTGTATTCTTACACCCTCGCAGAAAAGGAAACAGCCCGGAGTGAGATATCAGTACTCTTTAATGATTATCTCTTTGAGGGTGTATCTTACAATTTGTGCAACTTCTTGCGGTCGACTGAAGAGGCTCTATTGCTCCGTGAGTCAGTTTGAATTCCTTAAGTGTTCCCTCGTTTTGCCAATACGCAATCTATTTCAAAACTGAGTGAATAGAACTCAATCACCGCGTGTCATTATGATTCAAAAACTATTTAAATGTTGTTTTATTTTGTCAACTCAAAAAATCTTATTCAAAATGTTAGAACAGCAACACCAAAAGAGTTAATTTTGAGGGGGGAAAGGCTTTGGACCCTTTATAGTGACTGTCTTATCTTTAAAGCACGCCTCCACACAGTACTCGCTTGACGAGACAAGTACCCTTCTTTTGATTTCATCAATGCATTTCTCAAGCAGTTGCAGAGCTTCTTGATATTCCATATCTTGATGCCAGTGTTTGTCGAGCAACGCCAGAACAAAATGGCTTCCAACGCCATGTGCGGCATAGTTTTCTTGAACCAAAGCTCCCAACTGATCAACTAAATACAATTCGGGTGCTTCGTCTACGCCTCCTATTAACACTGAACATTGGTATTTCCCTTTTCTTAAATTCTCGGACATCTCCTGTCTGACCCAGTGCGCCACCGAACTCGTGGTGCTTTTTAATCCTTTTTTGTCATTCAAAATGTTTTTCATTTTCTCATCACAAATTTGTAATTTTGTTATTAAAATGTTATTCGAAGATAGCGACACAACAAACCATTGCGATAGTAATTGAGAGCGATATTACGCTGAACAAAGTCAGCAAGGGCTTGTCTGTCGTTCGCCTCGCCTACAATCGCCATCAAGCGGTTGCCTTGGAGGGGATATATTTTGTTTAAATCGTTTTTAACAATAATGCTCCCACGCCCACTGCTTCCGTCAGTTGCAAACAACACAAAGTCCTTCCCAACAATCCCTACACTGCTGTCCATCTCTTTTTTCTTTTTGAAGTTCTTCTTTTGTGTTGAAGTTTTCATGTATCTTCTCCTGGACATTTCTTATACTTTTAATTTATTTTTATCATTCATTTGAAATTTGTTTTTCGTCAATTTGGTTGAACTTTTTTCTCTTTGTTTTTGTCCCAAGGTTATTATGGTTTATTACTAGTTAAAATTAGTTAGTAAAAAAGTGAATAACTTTTTACATAACAATCTGTTGAATGCCCGGTATGGCATGACGGTAACAAGTATAACATTTTTTAGTGGAAAAAAGAAAAATGTTATTCAAAAATGGAGAACAATACAAACTTGAAAGTTACTATGAAAGTGTTGACATTAATTCTTTTGTCTGTTTTTGCTTACTCAGAGTTGACTGGCCTTTCCGAGTGTGGGAGTGGGAGGTCGACATATTTTGAGTATAACGACAATGGAGCTTGTGGGTATGGTCCAATTGTGCGTGGAGGTTCTTTTGGTTCCATAGGATATGCTGCTTTGAATGAAGAGATGTATAACAATGCTGCGCAGTGTGGTGTGTGTTATGAAATAGTAGGGCCAAAGGGTGTGTTGTATGTGCGAATAGTCGATGAATGTCCAGCAAATGAAGCCAACCCTGGGTGTCATGGACAGTATGTTGCGTTTGATATTGGAGAAGAAGGTTTTAGTACTATAGGGGACAAAGCTGTTGGTGGTGCGAATATCACATATCGCATGGTAGCCTGTGAGATCTCTACAAATCTGATAATTATGACACCAAGTGGCATTTCCCCGACTTTTTATGCATTTGTAGTGAAGGATCATACCATTGGAGTCTCTCAAGCTGAGATTTCGAGTGATAACAAAACTTTTTTTAATTGTCAAAGACAAGCTTGGAACACATGGAATTACACACCACAAACGCCATTGGTTGCTCCTCTTTATATTAAAGTGACTTCTATAGCCGGTGATGTCGTTTATGCCAAAATCAGTGATATCGCAGAGAACAAAGAATATCTCGCAGACGCAAATTTTAAAGTGCCGACGGATCTTGTGTTTGATACAAAGACCTTAATCCATTCACAAAAGACTGAATCGACGGATATGAAGTGCTGCTCGGTACCTGATGAGTATTCTATTCTCTACGATGATGGTCTTCTTGGGACGTGGTATGAAAATAGTTACTCAATTAATAGTATTAATATGGTTTATAATACTAATTGCTATCAAGGGAAATGCATAGAAGCAAATATTCAACAGTACGGGGCCCTCCAAATTGTGGGAAGCTATTCCGTCCCTAAGGATCAATTCTCTTCTCTCCAATTTTATGTCAAATCTTCTTCATGTGAGAAGTGTTTACTCGTTTCATGTGGGGGTACAAAGAATTCGGCAGTCTCAATTATGCAGAGTAATGTGTGGCAACAAGTTCAGATCCCGTTCACTGCAATGGGATGTTCTGATATAAAAAATTTTGCGTTCCAAAACAACAATCTCGATACCATATTCTATTTTGATTCTATTTCTTTACTACAAAATCCGAATGCTCCTTCTCTGGAAAGATGTTTTACTCTTCAACCTCAAGACCCTAGTCAATCTGATGGCAATCAGAATCCAATCTCATCATTACTCATTCTCTCAATCTTCTCTCTCTTCTTATTATAATTAATTCATTTAAACTGCTTTGGTTCTGAACTTCAATAACATAAATATATCCAATTCCACCAACAAGTTACATTTGTATCGCAAACACTCTCAGTGGCTCAAAAGTATCGGGGTATATATGTGAGCAGAATAATTTCGCGGTTGCTCGTTGGAAGTATTCTTCCATTTCTTGACTCAATGAACTCTTCTTCTCTCCACTCTTATTCTGGATATATACCACATTAGCTACTTGGAAGAACATGTCCTCGTCTTTCTTTCCCATTTTAAAGATCGACGTCCCGTCGTGAATCGATTGTTTCAGTAACGCAAAGAACAATTCTCTCTCTGAAAATGGTTGATACGAGAACATAAAGATTTTCGAGTCATTAATCCATGTCCCGTCCACAACGGCTTCACTCATCGAAACACCAAAGACGTGTTTGTTCGTATCAAACACTCCAAACACAAGTCCTTTCTTCTTATTACACTTCTCGACAAACTTCTCCATGTTCCATCCATCTCTCTTTGTATCATAGACTAACAACTCTTCACGGATCTTCCCATCAACTAAATTATCAATTTCTTTCCCAATCTCCTTTCGGACATCGATCATGGACGGTTTGTGACGCTCGCGCTGCTCCGCTCGGTCTTGGCGTTGCTCTCCATTTCGGTCGCGAGACTCACTTCGCGGTCTATCATTATTCAAATCAAAGCGCGGTTCCCGGTAATCCGGGGAATTGCGATGGACACTGCGACGGTCGTCGTCATCGCGCAACGGGCGAAGCGGCTTTTTATCGGAAGGTTCGCGACGGTCGTCGCGGCGGTCATCGCGAACGTCTCTGTATCTATCCTTAGCAACTCGGACTTGCTTTTCCATTTGAAATAAGAGCTGTTGTTGGGTGTCTTCAATTAAGCCAATTTCATTCTGTTCCGATTTGGCAAGGTCATCGACTTTCAATTGGAAGTCGTGAAGGCTCTTAAGAATCGTTCTCTTGTTTTGAAGCATAAGTTCTGTCTTCGGATAGAGTGTGGTGAGGATTTCAAGAGGGTCGTCTTTCTTTATTTTGACGATGGTATCGTCAAGAGACAATTTAATGATCTTGTTCAAGTCGTCAAAGATGGCCTCAATTTGCTGAGCACTTTTATACTCCACGTTAGAGAGTTTTGCAAGCAATTCTTCCATGACTTGTGTTTTGAGTTCATTTTTTTCTTTTCGAGTTTTCATGCATTCTGAAACTATTCATGAACAGAACTTTTCAATAACATTTAGTGAAGAATATCAAAAAAAAGTAAAACATTGAATTTATGGCTTTGTGAAGCATTCGGGAGTCATATACCCAGTAAAGTCCGCCCATGTAAAACCCAGAGGAATTGTTCGTTCCTTTCCTGGAAAATGTTTGTGCTCGTTAAAATAATCAACAAGACCATCCTTTCTGATCCATAAATCATTCAACCACTTTTTAAGCCCTTCGTCATCTTCGGGAACATCTTTCATGTCGATACGATGGACATCCATGTGAATGTTCATCCCACCGCCAGGGAAGAAGCACAACGCCGCCGTGGGCTTGCTTGGGTATCCCAACGTCAGATCGTAAAAATAGGGAATCACCTTTCGTAATTGCTGGAGAGCAACAATAACACCAGTTGGTCGTGGGTGCAACAAATTTTTGAACTGTGGCAGTCCGTTCTCTTTGCAATACTTATTAGACTCAATGAGTTTGTCTGGCTTCACTCGTGTTCCCTCTGGGAAGATTGTAAGCCAGAACGGGTAGTACTTATTTCTGAGTCTTTTAAAGGTTTCCAAAATATAGGGTTTGTCCTCCTCGAAATTCCTTTTCAAGTAAATTGTATCCATCAAATAAAATCCAAACCCAACTATCGGGATCTTTCTAATTTCATCCTTCATGAAAAATCTCAACGCGCCAATTCTCCCACAACGCGGCGCCGTGAGTACAATCGGAAGAAAGTCATAGAAATGACTGTGATTTAAAACAAACAGTCCGTTCTCATTGGGAACGACCTCATCACCAGTCTCCACCACTCTATTACCCATCAAATAATAGAACATAATTGGAAAATACATCATGTACACCTCCGTAACTCGTTGGAATGTCCACTGATACGCCGATCGCGAGATAACGTACAGGGGAAACCCTACAACAACCTCCGTTATCATGAGAAGGATACACTGAATGAACACAGACATCACGTAGCCGTACCCACAATAAACCTTCAGCCAAAACATAGTTTTGTTGAAGAGCTTCGTAAGCGCTTCCATCTTTTTGATTTTACTGATTGCACCAAATTTTGTTTTTTGTATAGTTTTGAAGTGATGAATTTCTTCAAATTTTCCTCCCTTATGAGATGCTTAATTCCAATATTTTCGGGAAATCGAGAGATGAAATAACATTTTGAATAACATTTTATTGTGTAACAAAACGAAATAAATTGAAATGAGTAAACGAGATTGAAAAAATGAAGAAGGAGAGCATATATAAGCCGAAAAAATTGAAGAAATACAATGAGTGAAAGCAAGTTGGTCTACCTTTTTCAAAAGCGTAGGGTGACAAATTCAATAAAACCGACTCTTCTGAACACACAAAAAAGAGGATCACTCATTGATGTTGTAGACAGCGTTGAATACGAGTGCTTTATCAGCAGTATTTTGACAACAATACAAAATCTCAAAGTCAAAACAAATAATCAAAAGAAGTTTTAATTTGAAATTTTCATTGAATAAATGCCCAAGATCTTTCAAACACAAAGATCTTATAATTAACACAAGTTGATGTCAGCGTTGGATTTAATTTCACACCAGCCAAAGGACGAAAATGTGAGGACTCTTCTTATCTTCAACCCTGATATTCCAACAAAAGAAGGAGAAGATGAGAAGAAGATGTTATACTGTAATAGCAACCAAACGCATTACTCAGACATAGCCAATTTGGGGCTTTTTCAAACACTAATTGGCTTCTTCTCACAATTCTCAAAGCCATTAACCACAGTTAATATGAAAAAGACAAAGACGTTTTTGTATTCCCCCGAACCTTCTTTTTGGGTGAGTTACACGATTTCCGCAAACGTTCCAGCAATCGATGAGACGGGTGTTGAATTTCTCAAATTTCTATGCGACACGTTCATCTTCCTCAACGGGTCTTTTACAACACAACACAATACTTTAACCCCCGATCTCTTTGCTTTACGACTCAAAAAGTTCTTTGACAATGTCCTTCCTGAGAACCCTAAAGATGTATTAACTTCTCCAGGTAAATTTGCGGGCGTTCAATACAATTCTATTGGGAAATTACCAATGACGCGACTTATTAATGTCATGGAAGATATTAAAGCAAGGTTCCCGTGTATTACCGACTTTACACTCTTCGATAAGTTTGTTTTATAAATAACTATAATATAAATAATAATTTATTATTATTTATACAGTCATATTAATATTATGACTGCTATAACAAATAATACTATAATTAGACAGTTCTAGTTATATGACTCTGATTCTGACTAGAACTATAATTGTTACTATAATTAATAGTATGGAATCCTCAAGTAATCAATAGCATGAGCTTCTTAAGTACAACCCTTTCATACGAACTTCAAAGTACTTTGTACAACGTGTTCACAGTCATCCGAGAAGGTTCGATGGATATTGGGAAACGATTTAGTTCGTTACGAACGGCGAATGACGAGCGACGAATTGTCTTTGGGGTACCCGACGAGCGCTCGAAGAGTAAAAGTTATTTAAGTGCGACGCAAGATATTTTGAATAGTTCTGTGTATATTAAAGATGAAGAGAAGAAGTGGATAGTGTATGAGCACAAGAGATTCTTCTTTCATTTCTTCTTGTCTCCGGAGAACACGGAAGTCCTCAAGTTTTTAACGTTTTTAAATAGCGAAATGCCGGACGTGGTAGAACGCATTTGGTCGGACGACTTTGTGAAAGAGAAGAAGAGTGTGATGCCGAACACCAATTTGTTCTACTTCAATGTGACAACATATGTGAAACATGGAGCTTTGTCATTCTTTGATAGAAACGATATCATGAAAATGGTATCGTTTGTCGATTTAACAAAGAACGGAGTCAGCGAATTCTATATCAAAGGAGAAAACGGGAAGTGGGTTGTCTACTTGAATATCGGAGGGAAGGTTGTGAAGATGGTCAGACAACTGAACAACAATTCGAACATCTCCAATGCATACGGAGACGTTAAAAGTTATATCAACCAGACGTTTAAGAACATTCTGTACTAAATCATTTGAAATTTTGAGATCTTTTTAGTTCGATTTTGAGTTTTTTCAAAATGTTGAAAAACATTTTTTTTTTTTCGTCATCGGGAAATACAAACAAGACCACTAAAGTTGAGATGAAAACACACAACATTAAAGCTACTGTTCAAGTCACTGTGACGCGAGTGGAAAATAAAATAGAAAGTGGGGGGTCTGTGAAAGTGATTTGGGAACGTGGAGATAATAATGGATCAACGAAAGTGATTAGTTTGAATTCTGAGATTCAAGAAACGTTTTCGTTTTTGTCGACGTTCCAACACACAAAAAACGGATTGAAAGAAAAAGTCATGAAAATCACACTTTCGGCGAGAAATACGAATGTGGGATCAACTACTATTAATCTCTCAGACTTTTTCGAACAGGCAGGCGACTCACAAAAAATCATTGAAACCACAAAGGCAGTATCACAAAATAATACTAAAAGTAACTATTTGATTCATCTCAAAATTGCTTTTGTCTCTTCGTCATCTGCTCAATCTCTACAATCTCCACCACTGGCAGAACAAACTATCAGAAAGGACGGGAAAAAGGAGTTGAAAACTACAAAAAGTTCCTCAGTCATCACTAACAGAAAGGCAATCGAGGTCAAGCACAGGAGAGGAGCTAATACTTCCCTTGACACGTCCGATTTACCACAATTGGTTCAACCACCGCAATTGAATAAACTATCGATGTCGACGGTGTCACCATCAACTGCTGCACCCGTGTCATCTCCGCAACCTTTCAACGAAAGTGCGTTGACAAGAAAACAAATGTCAATGATGAGAATGAGAAGGTCGACGGCAGACTGCTCACAAATTAAGTCTAATCTGGAAACATCAAAAAGAAAAAGCATAAAGCAGAGCGGCGATGTGCTGAAACCCGAAGAAGAACAACTGATCGCCGACATGAAGAAATACACTTCGTTTTTAGAAATGGAGGAAAAAGCAAAAACGTCAGAAAACACAATTTTGGCGCAAATGGTTTACTCATCCCTACCACTTGATGTCTTCACAATGTCAAATGGACTGCCTCCGATTGTTTCAAATGAGCTGTACGGATTTGTTGTTGCAGACATTGTTCCAATTAAGTCGTGTTTTTATTTATACTCGACACTCAGCAGACTCATTGTGTTATACGATTCACTCGCGAAGAAACAACGCAACGACTTTCTCTTCTTGTTTGTCAATGAGCTGCAGAGGTCATTGATGGCATGCCACGGAAGATTGATGGAACTTATTCGCGCAAGAATGGTGAAAGCAGTTGAGGAGTGTTTCAGGCTCAATTGTAATGAACGTCCGATCATAAAAGAACTGATGTCAATACTCATGATGGCAAGAGATTGTAGACTATCAACACCATTCAAATCAATATTGTTGAACGACTCTTTTGTGTTGTTCAACAGCTGTATGGGGGAGGAAGTTGTGAACGGCCATTGCACAATGATAACTGGTGTGCAAATCCAGGTTTTAGTTGGGATGGTTGGTGAATTGGAGGTGAAGTGGAAAAATGACCTACCAGAGAAAGACAATTTGGTTGTTCTTAAAGAAATAGGAAGAGTGTTGATGCTCTCCCAGAAAATTTTGTTGTCAACTGAAGCTCGTCTCGACGTCTGTCCTCATTTAACGGACGATTTGTTGATCAACATTCTTAAAGATGTTTTGAAAAAGCAAAACGACCAAGAGGTTTCGCAAACAATCAGTTTGATTGAAAGAAACAAAGGACAGATAAGAGTTGAATTTTACGAATTTGGACTTCCAGAACTCAGAGAAAATCGGTTGAGGGATGTAGTGAAAGAAGCTGTGGGATATCCGTGGAACGTTTATGATCTTACGGGAACGCCTCTGGAAGGGAAACCATATTTGAAGAAATTGGTTTGAATTATAGTTACGTGATTTTCATTGTGTAAACGCGTAAGTTACTCGTCAATAATCAAATTTACACCAAAAAGTATTTTTATTAAATCGACCAGTAACAGAAAGCACGTTGACGGCATCACAAAATAACAAATAATCAATCAATAGAAAATACTGTCCCCATCCAAATCAAAGAAGTCGTAGTGTTTCTTCTTTTGTTTGCGCTTTTCGTTCTTTTTCTGTTCTGGGAATCCTTTGTTCGTCGAACGAGTCATTAATAATGGTGTTTGATTTCCCGTTCGCGTTACCATTCCTTCAGTAAATGGCAACACCTTTTTAAGCTCTTCTAAGTTTTTCTGAATTTCCTCTATCTTTGGGAAGATTACCGTGAATTTGATGAACAGATCTCCCCGTGTTGACGATAATGGTTGAATGAATCCCTCCCCCTTTACCTCAAGTGTTGTCTCTGGTTGGATCACATCATTATAACCGAGAAGTAACTCTCTTCCGTCTAGTTGTTTCACCACAAAAGATAAACCAGTGAGTGCCTGTCCAAGTCCAATTGTCTTTTCCATATACAAATCGTTTCCGCTTCTTCTGAAAACGGGATGTCTCTGCTCCACAAATTTGAATTTGATGTCCCCCGCCTCTTGTCCGGGGTATTGATTTCCCTGTCCTTTTAACACTTGATACCCACCGTTGTGTTCTCCGACTTGCAGTTTCACAACAAAGTTCTTATCGATGTTTTGAACCAATTTGCCGTCACAGAACATACACTTCTCTCGTTCGGGAAGATACTTTCCTTTTCCTTTACACTTGCTACACGTTTTGTTGCATTGATAATACGACCCCGGTCTTGTTCGTCCCGACGTATAGATGTATCCTTTTCCATTACATGACAAGCAATTT